GACGGAAAACTTTTTCCAACTACCTGGAGAAAGAATATACAAAAATGGAAAGCCAGCTAATATCGATGCAATCCAGATTGCATATAATGCATGTCAAGTTGATCAACAGATTGTATTATTCTCCAATGCAATAACAGTACTGAAATGAAGGCTATAAGGGCATTAATGGGAGACATTTTTTAAGTAACGAAAAAGTTACTTTTCACAGTAACGCATTACTTTCGGGTGTAAGCAATCAGTAAAGTAACTGAGTTACTTTTGAAATTAAGTAACTAGTAATGGTAACTAGTTACTGGTTTTCAGTAACTAGCACAACACTGCTCATACCACCACTGTACCATCCTTGAGAAACTGAATTTATTGAGTTTTGACTCAAGGTTGTGCTTTATTTATAAATGTTTACATGGACTGCCCCCCCCCCCCCCCTTAGGGGAATTCACACACTGGACGCTGCACTAGGTCAGAAACCAGAGGAGACTGTGAAGTCCATCGTAGACGGACCACTTTTGGACAAAATGTCCTCTCCATTAACCCTTAAAGACCTAAACGGAATTTTCGCCTGCTTGACTCTCCTGTATTTATTTGTTTCTCCTAACCTGTTCTAACCTTTTCTAGCAGTCAGCATCAAGTGCCTTACCTCATTTGATTCAGGAGAACCTCTAGTTCAAGTCTGGATAATTTAAAGTCCACATTTTACCTTAACTTTGTGTGATAATGGCTGAATTTACCAGCACTTTTCAAAAACGCCAGTACAAATGTTGTGTTTTTTTACTGTTTACTCCGACAGGAACATAGGAATTTTCTTTTTTATTATTTACAAAGCTGCATTTAGATGTTTTAGGCTTTCAAATTAAATGTAATCTGCATATTATGTTCCCTGAGCAAGTTACAGCTATTTATTATAATATTATCCTAGGCGTTTTGTACTGAAAAACGCCTAGGATAATATGGAATAATTCAAACGAAATGTATTTCCATATTTAAATGACTGATCATGTTTCTTCTGTCAAAAAAAGGTTGAGAGAGTAAACAATTAAACCATAACAGATGACATTGCAACAAAAATAATTTGTTTCAGATAAATATATTATCATTTGAACATTTAAATACAAACAAACAGTGAAACAAATTCAAAGTGCAAATTAACAAAGTGCAAATTATATTGAAACTATAAACAAAGTATTAGGAATATATAGAAAGTGCAAAAGTACAAAGAGCAAATGATCTTCAAACTATAACCAAAATATTAGAAAAATATATAAAGAGCAAAGGAAATGTATCCACATTCATCATGGTCTGGGTCGCTTAGATGTACAGCTCTGCTGATTGCCATGAACCTGTCTCTTGTCATGACAGGAGCAGGAAAGAGAACACTCAGGTGTGATCCCTTCCTCCAGTAGTCTCTTACTTTTGGCAGTTTTAGAAGTGCCATAAGGCCGACATACATGAGGAATTGTACCGGCTTTCCCAAACAAACTTTTCCCCCTTAGCCTGCTCCTTTTCAGCATTTTTGTTTGTGTTCTTGCAGATGATATTTACAGCTTGGTTGTTAAAAAAATGTCTAAATATTTGTGCAGGAGTATACTCCACACCAACAAAACCTTGGACTCTAGGGGCTCTTTTCGGGCAAAAGTGTGGTAGTTGTTGGGCAGTATCTGGCACCTCAGGTCCGTTCCAAACAGCTCCTGGCTCTTCTGGGGTCAGAGATGTTGTTTTCCCTCTTCCTCTTCCTCTTCCTCTTCCTCTCCCTTTCACTGTCAGGGGGGCTGGCATTGGTTTGGCCTTTTTTCTGGATGCTCCACCCTCCTGGCCATTATTTTCCCTCTCGGTTTGAAGGAGGCCTACTGATGGGGACAGTGGCTTGTGCATCCTCTCTCTCATCCTCTGGACTAAAATAAAAGGGAGGAAAATATACAGATATAAATGTCTGAATATATTTTATTTCCTTTATTGCTTTTATTTCTCCAGTGTCATCCTATCTGTTTTCTAAACACAGTCTCAACTTTTGATTTGATTCACTTTATCCCTCTGCTAACATTACTAGTTGATGGAATCAGTAACTGAATTGTAATGCAATGAATATAATAACATTAGACCTTATAACAAACAACCAAAGAGGGCAAGCGGAATGAGGCAATAAATGAAAGGTATTGCTTGACGTTTTTTTACTGAAATAAATATTAGCCTCTATTGATAGTGAATCTTGAGCTCAGGACTTTTTTTTCACAATTACGGCAAATGGCCATCCATTATAAAAACTCGTAGGACTAATTATTTTCGGCGTTATACAGAAACAGCAACCGATAAATGCAACACAAACAATAAGAAATAAGCAAAGTTACTCACTTTTTATCTTCGAAGGGATCAATCCCGTGATCATACTCCTCTTCATTGCCAGTTGTCAGCTTCAGAATCTGAGGAATCCACCGCTGCATCGCTAAGCGGTCCGCCAGACAAAATAAATGCTACGGCTTCTTCCGTAGTGTAACACCGTTTTGACATGTTGGTTTGAATTTCTCTTGGGATGTGTATGTGTGTGTGTATGTATGTATGTGTATTTGTGTGTGTGTGTGTGTGTGTGTGTGTGTGTGTGTGTGTGTGTGTGTGTGTGTGTGTGTGTGACTGTATCTAGATATCTCATGTTGTATTTATTTCTCTTACGCTGGCAAAATTACTCTTCTTTAGTATTACTCTCTCGTCTCTCTTTGTTTATCTCCCGCCGCCAAAAACATACACAGCAACCTATGTTGATTGGTCGAGAAGATGGTAGCATGGGCAGAGGTTTGCCTGGACCTTTACATTTTAAACCTATCCGGACACAGGGGGGTGGGACTTAGTCTAAAACCTTTGCTGTTTGGCTCAGACGGAGGGGCCGCGTGGGTCTCCTTGACGAATCAAGGCTGTAAAATGGGATGACATTGCCCCGATCACGTCGGAGCCTCTGAATCCCGGAAAAGGACATAGTGATACCAGCGAAAAGCCTAGAATAGCCGCTTTACCTCACTTTTTAAATCAGATGGATAGGATTAGCGGTTAAAAAGTTATTAAGCATTTTAGAACGCTACCTCTTTGAAGCCGCGGGCGGCTCGCTCGGTCTTTAAGGGTTAAAGGCAGCTCATTGTGGAAGAGCCTCCCAACTCAGATACGGGATTGTCCCACTCTCAATAGCTTCAAAGGTCAACTCAAAGAATGGATGAGAAACAAACAGACGTGCAATCACCGCTAAATGCACTTTAACAAAGGGGAATCTCCTCTTTCACTTTATATGTCGTTGCTGCTGTATTGTATTACCATGTCATAAATAGTTGTGCATGCTGCTCTTGCTCTTTTGCACTTTTTGCATATCATGTATTTTGTTTTTGCTATGTTTGTAAAAATGTAATTGTCTTAAATGTTTTATGTGAGGGACTGGAAATGGATCTGGATCTGGCACTGTTACGCTTGACACATTTTAATGTGTTTAGTGTTCATTACTGTGCATTATCCCTGCCAAATAAACGATTAAATAAACAATTAAATAAATAATTAAATTGAAAATTAAACTGTGTGAAGAATAATTTGGCTGTATTACTGAGTTCAGAGTCATTGGCAAAAGGATAGGCTAAACTCAGATGCTACCAAATCTGGTTTTAAATCAATTAAAAACCAGGATATTGTATTCTACAAACTTTCAAAGCTGTAAGGGATGCTTCATAACAATTGTCAGTTGTCTGTACACTTTAGATGCTGATTTGTATACAACAATAGCTGCTCTGACAACCAATCTATCCTTGCTGAGTGTCCATTTGAAAATGACATAATGTAGTTTGCATCATTGCATGTGTTTGATGTTTAGCTCAGAGGGCTAGAAATGAATTCAGAATTATCAGGACTGTAGAATATCAGTAGTAAACTATTTATACTATATGCCTGAATATGCTGGGAAGTCAAATGATTGTCATGGTGTACTAGAGGATTAGGATGATGTGCATGTAATCAGTTCATCCCCTTGTGACCCCCTTTTTACAGAAACCTAAATTACCCATGGAAAATGCTTGTATGAAAGGGAAAACAAACTGCGTTGAAAAGTGACAACAAAGAGACAGACGGATGAAAAACTCAGTATTTGCAAAGCACACTTTCACATACATGAGGTTATTGTCTGATGTTGAATACTGACATGGGCCAATAGATAAGGTATAGGGTCCCCAGTAACAACACACAAATGTCAACAAACAATTGAAAAAACTGGGTGTATACATATTATAATGAAACCAACACAGAGTCCAGAAGTGCTCAAAGCAGGCGATTGGACAGCAGCCAGCTAACTGAGCCAACCTCAGTTATTAAAACACAGCTTAGCCCACTTCAAACTTGGTTTGCTATAAACTTGGATAAAGTTGCCTTAACAATGCCTGAAATCCAACAAAAAAGTTGCGTTTTAATCAATTAAAACCCATGCATGAAACTAACAGCACAACGTGACCACAAAACAAGAGTTATATTAAAGTGAGAGTAGTTTAGCTGCATACTTGCTAGTTTGTTAGCAAGTAGTTTCCTACACATTCAGTAGCCAACCGAGCACGTGTGTAAGCTAAGGGAGAATATACAATACAAGACATAAAAGGGACGCTGCTCTTACAAATCTGTACATTGCTGGTTACAAATACATTGAATAAACGTACACTTTTGCTAGCTAAAGGATGCTATGCGGCCTATTATTGCCAAAATAAGTGCTAAGTGTTGATTTAGCACACCTGTGTTTTCAATAACAGGTGCTTAACTAATTAAGCACCTTTGACAGACTATTTATGACAAATAAACGCGATTAATGGCGTTGCTTGTTCATTCGGGTTGATAAATAGCATATAGGGTTTTTCAGAGAAGTGGAGAAAGGGTTTAGAGCCAGGGCTAAGCTAATAGACAGATGCCCCAGTGTAATAATAAACAGTGGAATTGTTTTTAAGCTGCTAATTGGCGGCTAATGAACCGCGGAGACCGCCGTGTTTCCGAAAACTCACCTAAGACGAAAAACGGGAGCTCGGTGTTTTCCAGGTCGTCCACCACCACGACATCCCCGGGAAAATCGTTCCGAACGGAGAACAGCAGCTTGGGCTCGGAGGCCGACGGACTGTGCATGATGCTCAGGTCGTTTTCCCTCAAAAAAGGCAGCGCAGACACGGTGACGCTCTTCATCTTGCACTCGGAGTCCTGGTTCTGGTCATCGTTGTTGTGTAGACCTCGGACATTAGGCGTTAGGACGGCCATGAGGAGCCACGCGAGCCCCAGCAGCAGCAGCAGCGGTCTCGACCCCATGTTGATGCTCGCCATCTCCGTTTCCTCTCTCTTCCCTGCTCGCTGTTTCTCTCGCAGGCTGCTCAGCCTCTCAGCCCGTCAGATGAGAGAGCCGCACAGTGAGCGAGGGGGAGTGTGATACGCCGACGGGCTCTCCCAGTGTAGAAAACAAACGCTCCTTGTTTCTCTTCTATGATCAATCACAAGGTTTTTGCAGATACCGTGTGATTGTATTGCGTTTTTAATGCTGGTGACCCCTTTTCTGTATTGATCGATAAACTGTCCAAATGGCTTTGTAATGGCAAAGCATGGATTACCAGCAGGACATGCACCCACTATGCCCTGTGGGTCCCATCACCAAATGCATAATTGTTTCTAATTTAATTGTACATGTGCTCTCTCATAAACATTTGCATATCATCTCCAAGCGAATCCAATAACTCTTTAGTAGTTTGCCTGACCTCTGTGACTGGGTGGACACTCGACTGGCTGAATGCATAATTGCATAATTGATGGGGTGCACAACCTGAATGTTAAAACTCTGTGGGTGTCTGCAGTGACACCAGCAGATAGAAAGGCCAGACGATTTAAAATTGAAAAGGGGATGAAAAAGCAAGCAAAAGCTATCTGACATGCAGTTTCAACCACTATTCTCTAGAGTAGACCATTGTTCGGCTTTTAACTTTTCACCTAGTGTAACTACAACCTATCATCGGCTCAGGTAAGCCAAGGCTGCGCTAGACAGACTGGGATTTCAAAGAGTCCACACAAACAAATCAATATCACTGATTGAGCGTATGAGATTCTAAATAACAACCAAGAGAAAACATCATATTTCACTGCACGTCACCAACTTTACAAAACACAAATATCTAACACTGATATATCTGTGTAAGAGCACACTCTCGTCTGTGTTAAATCAACATAATATGTGCTCACTTCATTATTACGAGTCTGTGAAGGAGTAAACATGTTTGACTTAAAAAAAATATATGTTGCGTCTCAACCTGCACCAGAGATGACTTTTGAATTTGAATTCAGATAAATATTTGGCCATCCTCCAGGATAATACTGTACATGGTGTGAAATGGAATAATAGTCAAATCAGGAGAGACATGTACGAAAAGAAGATAATTGTTTATTAAACCAGATCTGATGCGAAGCAAAAAGTTAAATCCACCCGTGGAGTCCAGCAACTGGTAGTGGTGATTAATTATACTGCAACTGGTCTACCAATATTGTGTAAAACTGAAAAGGATGGGCGATGATAGGAAGATGGAGGGGTGCATGTACAGTAACAGCAGCATGAACATACTAAAAGTAGGCAGACATTTATTTTTAAATAAACGGCAGCAAGATGACAGGTACGATGGCAGACCCGGCCAATGGCAGCAAGGAAATTAATGAGAGGGAAGAACTACTAAATATATGTGAGAAATAAACCTAAAGAATAGTGTTGCTTGCTATCATTACACTAGTGCTTCATTTGTAGCAGCTGGATTGCTTGGGATTGGCTCCGTCAATGATATGTTTTAAAAATATCTTCTTATCTTCAGAAACAAGTTCCGTAAATAAGCAGAGACCGAACATACATTGCATTTTTTGAGTGGAAGATCCTCTGGATTTTCTCTTTGCCTGGTCTAAATATGTGTACAACTGGGCATCTTCGTGGTAACAATGACTAAATCAAGCCATCATTCATCTACACTGTCAGAGTCTTGTTTTGTAGTCAGGATTAATGGTGGCTGTATGAAACATGCAATCATCTACACTGTATTAAAAGAAGATTAATGGGCTTTCTGTTTGTAGAGGTCAAGTCCCATACAGATAATGCTGGATATAAAGCTGAGCGTTGTAGCATTGTTTACTGCCCAACATACAGCCCCCTGGCGTCCCTGTTATGACTCATGTTGGTTGAGCATTTTATAAACCCGGTAGTAACGCCCGCAGCTCAAATTACACAATGTTCATGTGATGTCATTTATGGAAAGATGTTCACACATGTAATGTACCACTCCTGCCTGCTTCCAATTTGTACATTTTAAATGGGACCTTAAAGTTTTGCTTTACACACCAATACATGGCAATTAATATGGTCAAATATCTTTTATTAAACAAGCATACTGTAATCCAGCCTATAACTAATCTAGTAGAAAATCAAGATTTAAGGATATATAAATATTTTAGACCAAAGGTATTTCAATTATGAGTGACCTTGTTTGTTAGCCTAACTATAATCAGAACCATACTGTAATGTTTATATATATATGTTTTTAATGTATCTAAATCCTTAGGTAGGGAGGGCATCCATTATAGTGCAACTTTGAGGGTCCCTAAATCAACATGTAATGCAGAGTTAGGTGGTAATTCCCTTTGGGTTTTGCGTCCTCCTTTCCATTACACTAAAAACAGAATATACATTTTGATTGGTTCAGCTTTAAGAAGAAAACCACTATGAAAAGAGTGAAACATTGAAAACAAACAAATACAGAGAAGAACGCCATTGAAATGGCACTAGCACATTTTCTGAGTGCTTTCAGACTCTACTGTAAATCCCTTGACTTTTGTGTTGGGCAGATAATTGCTATTTGGATTTGGATACAAAGCCTTAGGAAAAGAAGATTGTGTTTTTTGTGTCAATACTGTCCACCCATTTAATATTAAAGCAGCTCTGTGGTCTTCTTATAACCTCAATTTCTCTCCCTCATCAGAATGCGTTTTAAAGTAAAAAATAGGGCAATGTTTGGTATCAAAGCTATAAAAAAAACAGAGCAAGCAGAGAAGTTGATTGGCCTCGGCCACCCACAGTGAACCATTAAAAAAGTTAACATAAATTCAAGAGAATAAGTGGAGCAAACAGTGCCAAGACTTTCTCCCCTTCATTATTGATGATGGACTGGTGGTGACAGTGGTGAAGGAAAACTCATCAGTATTCAAATAAGATCTAGTGTTCTTATAAAGTTTTAGCTTCTGGATGTATGTGCCCTTTTTTTACTCTGAGGCTCTCTGCTTCTGCTGTCCTGAAGAAATAAGTGGCAGCAAGGATAAGGACAGAGTGAAACTTTTCGGGTACATTGCCTTAAAGGCCAGAGAAAGTTGTCAATGATAATTTGGAAGATCTTCACGTACTGTGTCAGCATTGACTGCAATGTTATTTCTCTTTACAGTTTAGACGACAGGGCTTGCGATATCTATATTTCTCAACATGCCGAGAAAATTCCACAAAAAGAAAAACACAAAAATGAATTGATACTTCACTTCTTTGTGTCATAGAGCTCCATTGCTGTCTAAAATATATTTTAAAAAACCATTTTGACGCTAACTGTTTCACTGGATGACATTTTCCTAAATGGGCCTTAAAATGCTTATTTTCAGGTTCCATATTAGAATGTTGTGGCTCTGTGATATGTGTACATGCTTTCATGTTTAAAATGATCTTTATTTTTCTCATACTGCCTGTGCCGCAGCACATCTTTTCACTGGCCGTGTCTCAATTCAGGGGCTGCATCCTTCGGAGGACGCAGCCTGCGCGGTCCACGAAGGATGCAGCCCACGTAGACCAGGTAGGCTGGACCGAGCGGCCTACGAAATGAGACGGTCTAGCCTACTGAGCACTTCGTATTTACGTCACGTGATACGCGCTGTTCTGTTGCAGTGCTCCAGCAGCCTGATAGCAAATGAGCTTACAAGCTAACTCAGCTGAAAAGGATCCAGAAACGTAACTTTTTTACTTTAACCATTACGGCGATGAAATAAAGAAGACCATGGCCAGGTAAATACGATTAAGCTGTTCCTTTAGCCCCCAGTAATGTTACATTAGTAAGTTAACAAGTACATTATGTATATAGCTGATGTCATTTAATCATATTATTTCATATTTATATATATATATATTTATTTATTTAAGTAAGTCTTAATTTTTCTGTACTAATAAAAAAACATGTTTTTTTAAATGAACAAAAGCATGTTGTATAGATTGATTCTTAAAGGTCCCATGTCATGTTGAGGTTTGTTGGTTTCTCATACAGCATCTCTGTATAGTATGTGTATTTACCAGGTATTCACTCTCTGCCCTAAACGGCTTGTTGGCGCTCCTGCCCCCCCCTCCCTGTGAGCCTAGTGTGCTCTGATTGGTCGGGACGTTGCGAGGCTCGCTGCTGCTGCTCGCTGCTGCTGCTCGCTGCTGCTGCTGTGAACTGCTGCTGCTGTGAACTGCTGCTGCTGTGAACTGCTGCTGCTGTGAACTGCTGCTGCTGTGAACTGCTGCTGCTGTGAACTGCTGCGAGGAGCGGACAGGTTTCCAGGTCGGCGATACAGCGAGAACAAGCGAAACTCATCCTGAGCACACACAAACACTCACAGCCGAATTAAAAACAATAAGTGTGGCTTGATATTGAGTAAGAAAAAGGTTTATAACGCTGTGAGAATGGGTCTGCGCTGCCGAGAGCATTTCTCCGCGATCCCAACTCGTCTATTACCAGCATTCAGGGAGCTCTATGCAAGTCAATGGGGACTCCCTGTTAGTTAGCCAAGGGATCCTGTTGTGTGAGGTGCTCCGCGGATTGGTCCATTTGGGCCAATCCGGTCCTTTGTTGTTGATTTAGGTGTGATAACCGGAAAAGCATGACATGGGACCTTTAACAATATTAGTTTTCTAATCTTAATAGCTGTGATTATAACAGTTTATATTCTCCTTCTTCCCTTAAACCAGCCCAGATGATGTCCCACTGACACTTTGGGATTGTAGCCTTTGCAGACAATTTACATGCACAAAACCCTATAACAAATTACAAGAAATTGGAAACACTAAAAAGCATACCATACAGTGTAATTTGTATTGCAGTATGTACACTAATTTGAACATTTGTGCAGTTGTACCACAAATGATCAACCACATTTTGCGTGGTATCCAGTGCCACTGGTCATCATCATATATCACTGATTGTTATTTTATTAGAGTTAGCCTGGGAGCAGGGGGGTAGGTTTTTGTCTGAATTATAAAACTATTTCTATTGTACATAATATATAACAACTATATCCTCCTGGGACCCGAGGAAAAAAAGTGTCTATTCAGGGTTAAAAAAACATCTTGCAATTTAGACTTTTTTTAATTTGATCTTATTTTTAAATG